GGGCCCATTTAGAGCCAGTTTGAACAGACCCCATCTCTTATCAACAAAGTGATTAAGGATTGTCTTTCAGAAAAACTGCAAAGTCACGCAGCCAGGACATGTGCAAAAGAAGAAATCATGACCTGAAATGACCTCGGAAACAAAGAGCCTCCTTCTACAGAACCCAAGGACCGGGACGTGACCGGAACTTGAAAGCAGGACTAGTATCAGAAACGAGGGGTCCCTCATTAAGGAAAATCCCGTGTTAAAATTCCTTCCAAATTTCATCATAGATGTTTAGAACCTCATCATAAACGTTTAAAACCTTACCATAGATACCTGAAGCCCACCAATCGAAACCTGTCCCACTAGCATTTCCGCGTGCCAACCTGTTCTCCCTAACCTCTTAAATTTTGTCCCAAATACTGAATTGGGGAAACAGATCTGAGGGCACACGCCCCCTGCCTCCCTGGAGATCGATCTTGCAGATTGAAAAGCTGATTTCTCCCCTCAAAGGCTGGTGCCATAATTAATTGGCTCGTTTATGCGCATCGGGCATAGAACCCCAATTTTGTGCGGTAACAGGTACTTAGTTGTCCATGACCCTCTCTGTCCCTCATACATCATATCTAATCACCAAATCTTGTATATTCTACCTCTTAATTTGCCATGATTTTGTATTTATCTTTGAATCTCCCATCATCATCTCTTGCCTAGAATTCTGCAATAGCCTCCTAATTGAACTTTCTACCTTCATTATTGTGTCTTTCCAATCTATTCCACGAACTGTGGCCAGAGTGATCTTTCCAAACTTTAAATCTCTTTTCATCTGACCAACTCTTACTTCTCCATTCAGTTTTTTACTAATATGTGACCTCCTGCAAAAAGCCTCCCCTGCCTTGGGAGTCTGGTTTAGATAGCACTGCTCCGTGTTCTCATGGCATCATCTACTCTTTCCATCTCCATTATATTGCTTATCACATTGTAATTGCTTATTTGTTGTTTCCTCTATGCAGTTTCAAGATCTGTAAAGGCAGGAAACTGCTCTTTTTTTATTGTTTTATACCCATTTCCTGTCATAGTTCCTGAAAAATGGTAGGTACTCAATAAATACTAAATGAAGTTATACATCTGTCTAATAACTCAATTTTATCCAGAGAATGGTTTATAAGTACTTCTTTTTTTTTTTTTTTCTTTATTTTTTTTTTATTGCAGTAACATTGGTTTATAACATTGCAAAAATTTCAGGTGTACATCATTGTACTTCTATTTCTGCATGGACTACATCATGTTCACCACCAAAATACTAATTACAACCCATCACCACACACATGTACCGAATTATCCCTTTCACCCTCCACCCTCCCCCCTTCCCCTCTGGTAACCACCAATCCAATCTCTGTCCCTATGTGTTTGTTTATTGTTGTTATTATCTACTACTTAATGAGTACTTCTTTTAAGTATCAATTGCCTCAACCCAGCTGAATTACAATATGAGCTATCATTTATTTGGTATCTATTATGTACCAGGAGCTGTGCTATGTGCTTTACATTGATCTCCTCATTTGATCCTCACAACAGCCTTGTAAAGCAACTTAATTTTACAAATGAAGAAAATGGAGTCCAGAGAGGTCAAGTCTCTTATTCAAAGCCACACACACTGTTATGTGGCAGCACTAGGATTCAGATACAGTTTTATATGATTCCAGAAACTGTACCCTCAATTTGAGTTAGGGTTTAACAAGATGAAGTGTCTAAAAGATAAGTACTCTGACAAAAGCCCTTTAACTACCTGAGGAGCAAGAGGCAAAGAAAATTAAGAACCTCTTCACTCTTGGTTTCTAGAAGTCCTACCCACCTTGATGTTGACAAAGAGGCAACCCCAGAGGTGCTGGCTAGCAGGGTGCCATTCTCCTTAGAAAGTGTCTTTGGATAGTTTGCCTACAGTTTACCTTTAAAATTAAGGTGCTACTTGGCTGCTTTCCTATGAGTTTCTTTGAAGAGCAGCTAAAAGAAGAAAAAGACAAAAGAGGGACCTTCTCAAAACACAAAATCATAGTTCTTCCTTCTTTTCCCCATCTTAGCTTCAGCTGCACATTTGGGAATGGTGCTGTGGGTTAATCAAAGTTACCAAAGGCCTAAGCACCATGCTCCAAGGAAGTCTGAAGCATACCCAGCCTCCCTAGCATCTCCAGAGAAACAGCTCCTAACACTACACAAAGTTAGTCATGAAAAGGATCTTGACAATTTCCTAGTCTATTCTTGTCCTTTTACCCATAAAGAAACTTAGACCCAGAAAGGGGAAGAGAATTGTTCAAGGTCATACAGCTATTTATTGGCAAGATGTGTAGTGCAACACAATTTTCTTGATTCATAGTCTATATACACTTACATAGCTACCAGGTTTGGGGCAACCCTAACTTATCTCTGATCATTACAACAGCTCAATGAGGTAGATGTTATTATATATTTTTATTTTATAAATAAAGAGGTTATAATCCAGAAGAGTGAAGTAATTTTTCAAAATCCATGTAACTACTAAGTGAAAAAATTGAGGTTTGAACCCTGGTCTGTCTAATTCTAAGGTGGGTTTTCTTTCCACTGTGCTTTTCTGCCTCTCGCCTGGTGGTGAATTAGCCAGTGCAACTGCTCAGGAAATAGTGGCTTTTCAAGCCAAGTGATCTGCTCTGGCTGGTTGTTCCACCCAGCGGGTAAATGATTGTTTCTTTCTGCAACCCAGCAGAAACATCCTTTGTGCTGAATGCTTCCTTTCACAGATCAATAAAACCCCCTTCCTGTAAGCTATTGGCTAGGTCTTGGGAATGTTTCTACTACAGTGAATTTCCCACTGAAGAGGCATTCCTTACAGAGAGATTTGATGTATAGGCAAACAGTGCCTGTAACTCATCTTGTAAGAAAATGTATACACTATTGATAGTTTATGATACAAATTCCACATTCCAAAATGTTGTTAAAGACAAGATTTTCAGGAGTTTCTTGGAAACGCGTGGTAGTTCCATTACTTGTGGAGAAAATGGCAGTGGGTGAGAGGGAAGTTGAGGGAATATTCATGCTTTTTATTTTCTTTCACAGTTCTCTGCTCTGTTGCTATGCTTGTGTGTGACTAGGCCTTCTCCATTGACCACTCAAATGGAAGAAGCAACATGTTTCCACAGTTAGAATATATAGACACGTGTTTCTTATAAAGCACAAACTTCTGGCTATTTTTTGTTTCTCCTTGAGGCAAACAGTGGACAAACATGAGGCAAACATAAACTATTTACATAGCAGGAGGGATTCCAGGAACAGACTTTGGAGAGAGTGAAGGCAAGTGTTGCTTTATACAGGTGTTGCACGTTTATAAAGGCCTTCATGCACGTCTCATAAAGCTTCCTCCAGGGAAAAGTATAACTAGCTGGTTTTTAGAGGCCTAGCCTTCAATATCCTCTCTATCCTTCCCTCCCTGCAACCCCAGCTGCTCAGTGACATTTAGAAGCAACCTCCAACTCACTTCAGAACATACATACATACTCACTGACACTTTGGATAACTTACTGAGATAGCAGCCCAATCTCTAGCTTCAGGAGCCCGGGAGTGCTCTGTCTCTTCTTGGAGATGCTTCTCTGTCAGCTCCAAGGTCAGAGGGAGGGAAAGTCCACATTTCATGGGTCTTGCAATTTGAATGATAGTAGATACATGGTAAAAGTATGTCACTCACAGTCTTAAAGATGGACTTGCTCCTAGGCCCTGCTGAGAATTGCCTGAACCCTAGGATAAAAAGGAGGGAGTCTATCAAAGAAGAGGTAACCATGGCCTCCTTCAGAGTTATAGTAGGAGAAGCAACAAGTGTGAGTTCAAAATATATCCAAGAAGGCCTGGGATTTGGAAGCACTCACAGTGAGTGTCTTTACAAGTGGTCAAGCTATCATGCATTAACTATGTGACTTAGGCAAGTTATTTAACTTTTCTGAACAGCAGTTTTTCTATCTGAAAAATAATACCTACCTTGCAGGGCTGTTTTAAGGAATTGTTACAAAGATTAAGTGTGGTATATGACAATTCCTATCACATTGTTTAATAAATGGTAGTTATTTTCCCTTGAATATATGGACTTATATTAATTTAATTTGTTTAGGAATCACCAAAACACAGTGGATAGATTATAAACTTTAAAGTAATATAAATCTGTCTTTGAAATACACCTCCACTATTTGGAGTCATTCAGACTGGGTTGAATCTCAACTGTACCCCTCTCAAATCTTAGTTTAGTCAACTTTAAAAAAGTGATTATACCTGCCTCACAGAGTAGGTGTAAGGTAGGATTAAATGAGGTAATGTATATTAAAGTCTTAGTACAGTGCTGAGCGCATAACAGGTACTCAGTAAACATTTTCTTCTCCTCTCTCATCCCCAGAAGACTATGATAGTCTAACTGATTGGTGAAACTATTTTAACCCCTGTAAAAGGCACTAGATAATCTGTACACACTAAAAATAATATATTTTGTTCTTTCTGTATAAAAAATTCCAAGGAGTAAATTTAAGTCATTTGACCTCACTCCATTTATTTATGTGTTCCACAGTCCATATCTAAAATATCCCCAGTGTACCACCCCTCTTTCAGGGATCAGGACCACCAACCCTCCCCCTACTACAGTGGATTGCTAACGTTTATCAGATAAAATACACACTCCTTAATAAAGCATTTTTCAGATTCTGTAGCTATGGCAACCATACACATCAGTTTTTCCAGGACAGACCCAATTTCAAGTATTGTCTCTTATGTCCTATGTCCTCATAAATCACTGAAAAGGCCTAACAATAACAATACTTTGCCTTTCAAAATACATCTCTTACCTAGGCCATTCATACCCAAAAGCAGCATAAAAGTCATTTGGTAGACCATAGGACCTGATAATTGATTCAGAAATTGTGATCACTGTACCTAGAGTTCTTTGCAGTATGTACAATGTGACACCTTCCCACTCACTCATTCATTCTTTCACACAACAAGCATTTATTGAACACCCACTATTTGCCAGGTAAATGATGCCACAGAGGTATATATGTTATACAGGAGAGCACACATAGAAGTACACAAGTTATAATATAATGTGACAGACAGGAAAATAGGATTATATACAAGGTGCTATGGTAGCCAAGAGTAGAAAACAGCCAGCTAATTCCGCCTGAGGCTACTAAGGAAGACTTAACTAGAGGAAATGATGGTTGAACTTGGACTTAAATGATAATTGCAAATAATACATAAATGATAGATAGCTACAGTTTTTCTAAATAGATAATGTTGGGGAGTTGGCTTGGGAGGTATTACATTCTGTTATTGAAGACCATTTTGTCAGCTCATATAATATTTCAGTTTCTCTAGAAAGCAACAGAAAAGAAATTTCCTCGTTATAATAAATCTGCCCTCACATCATTTTTCATAAAAGTGGAACTTATAATACCTACTGTTTGTGGTGTTCAGGTGGATGAAATTCTACTTTTATTATCAACCACCCTTTTCAAATATCATTACTGACTCAAAACATGAGTTAAAAAGTATAATATACATACCTACATGTAGACATACATATTATATGTATGTCTATGAGCATGTGTACATACTACATACACACACAAAAACACACACTCACACTCACAGTAAGCTCCATGTGCAGAAAGAAAATTGGCAGTCAGGATTTCTTGAGCACGATAATTGATTTGGAGCTTAAAAAAGATGGAAGTTGATCATTAAATACTAGCTAGAGTTTCTAAAAATCAGCTAAAACAATTGCATTCATAAAAACAGTTTTGATGCTTTTGAAATCTGCGAATTTATTAAAAGTGTTAATTTCATTGCTTTTTAACTTATCATCTGTTAATTCAATAAAGATGGCCATTTTTAATTAGGCTTAATTGTTGTGCTCTGTTTTTCAACTTAATGAAAGGATTTTTTCATTTGCCCTTTTTTTTCCCACTACAACCTCAACCCCAGCTCACTGTCTGGCAAAGACATGCCATTTGTCACAGGGGCCAGGCAAGACAGAGTGAACAGCTCATTGAAAATCCATCTCAGCTTGTGAGAACAGCTAAACCCCAGGCATGCCCTGCTTTAGGGGGCGGTGTGTCAAGCACTCCACATATTAAGGCCTAAATATGAAGCCAAAAATGGCCCACAACAAACCAAAGCTATGGACAGAAACATAACTGCAAGTATTTTACCAGGGAAAAAGCAGGTGAATTAACAGTGGAATAAAAAGTCTTCATGAACAACTAGACACCACCATTGGTTTTGCAATTTTCATCTCTCTCTTCTTGAAATGAATCTGGGAGTAAATTGGAAGACATTGGTCAGAAACTAGATAACTTCTGGTCAATGTTCAAGAGCAAAGTGCCTTCTCCAGTCTGCAGAGACAGCCAATATGGAAGCTGAGAAAAGGCTCTGCTTAACACATTCAGCTCTGCTTAACCAAGATGAGATTTGTCTGTCCTTCAAGCCCTGGCCAGCTCACAATTCACCTCTGTTAGGGAACAGGCAGCTATACATTTTTCATATAAATTCCAACTGGCCACTGCTCATTTGCATCCCCTCCTTCAAACCCAGCTATCCCAGTTCCTCTGAGGTTAGCTGTCCAGCAGCTGAGAAGAGACCTTTTCTCTATGAATGCATAATTGGTCATTGATGAACAAACAGGCACCCACTCAGTCTACCTGACCTAGGAAAAAACTTCCTGACCATCCTCCCACATGTCCATGTTGGTCAACACGATCTCTGTATAATTTATAAGGTATTAAATATCAAAAATAATGGATCTTTTCAGTTAGCATCTTGGCAGATGATGATAGCAGTACATTTTATTTGAGAAGCCAGCAGAGACTTCTCCCAGTAAAACTGCAAACAGAAAACTGTGAGCATTGGCCCTAGGTCCTCCTAGAAAAAGGCTGCCATTATACTCCATTACACAGTTAAAGCTATGTATGCACCTCCTGGATGGCATCCAATCACATAGCACTTTTCCCTCCCTTTTACTTTTTGCAAATTTTTTTAGTAAAAACATGTCCTCTCAATGGCTAGACAGTGATTTCTAGTAAAGAAATAGACTGGAAATCAACCAGGAGAATGTGTGCTGCAAGTAATGGGAGATTTTTCAGAACCACCAGTAACAAGATACTTCTTTGTAGTGAACTTTATGCAGTGTGTCACATGCCATAAGGACTGAAGGCTCCAGTCTAATGTATAACTCAGAAGTGCCAGCAAGTGCAAGAAAGTACAAATTAAATGAGGGGAAACTGCAAAAGGAAAGGTAGAGTTATTTACTTAGGACTTGAATGTAGTTTAAGAGTTTTAAACATGCTCAAGATTTGTCTTCTTTCTTTGAGTGCTTCCTTCAATATTTGGAAGATATTTGGGAACCCTCACATTCTACAAAAAAATCAAAAGTATAAAAAGATAGGGTAATAAAAGTAGCCTAAGGAAATTAGGTATGATTTGACAATTTTATTCTAAAATGAAGACATTTTGGTCTTCAATGTTCAAGTTCTGATAAAAGTTAGAATAAGCAATTGGAAAATATGTTGCACTTTGGGAAAAAGAGAAGGTTCAAGGAATAAATCAAGAGGCAGTAGAGTATAGAGCAAGAGCCCTAAAGTCATACAGGTCTAGTTTCCCATCACAGATCTACCACTTTGATTCATTCAACAAATATTACTTGAGTGTCTACTATATACTACATACTGTACTGAAAAAGAACAACATGATTGCTGCCCTCATGGATCTTACATTTTATGAAGAGTGTTATAGACAGACTACTGAACAAATAAATTAAAAAGAAGAATAGCAGAGAGTGCTAAGAAGAAAATTATAACAGGGTAAGGTGATAAGAGTAACTGCATACCTACTTGTAGATTGGATAGTCAGGGAAGGCCTCTCCAAAGAGGTGATGAGGAGAAGAAGCCAGCTACATGAAGACTTAGTGTAAAAGTATTTTAAACAAAGAGAACAGCAAAGGCAAAGGCCCTAAGAATGAACTTCACTTATTAAAGAAACAGAAAGAAGACCAATGTATCTGGAGTCCAAGTATGAAGGACAGAGTAGTAAGAGATGAGGTCGGTCAATAGGTAAGGGCCTGATCTTGGGGAGGGCTTACCATGGTCAGGTGGTGGATTTCTTTTCTTCCTTTCTTTCTTTTTTTTTTTTTTGAGGAAGATTGGCCCTGAGCTAACATCTGTTGCCAATCTTCCTCCTTTTCTCCTTTTTTCTTTCCAAAGCCCCAGTAGATAGTTGTATGTCATAGTTGTACATCCTTCTAGTTGCTCTATGTGGGGCACCACCTCAGCATGGCTTGATGGGCAGTGCGTAGGTTCGCACCCAGATTCCGAACCAGCAAACCCTGGGCAGCTGAAGCGGATCATGCGAACTTAATCGCTCCGCCACCAGGCCGGCCCCAGGTGTTGAATTTCATCAAGACCGACTTACTAACTATGAGACTTTAGTCAAGTTCCTTAACTCTCTGTGTCTCAGATCCTTCACTTAAAAAAGAGATAATAAGAGTACCTATCTCATAAAATTGTTGTAAAGATTAAAAGAGATAATATATGTAAAGCACAGTGCCTAACACATAGTAAGCATTCAGTAAATGTTAGTTATTATTATTAGAACAAGTTTCTCTGTAGCTGATTGGCAGCTTAGAACAAGACAGCCTGTATGCAAGTCCTGGGTCTGCCACTGACTGGCTGTATGACTTTGGGCAAGTTAGTTAGGCTCCCTAAGCCTTAGCTTTGTCATCTTTAAAATGAGGTCATAAGATTTTTTGTGCTACATTCTGATGCATATTGAGCATTTTAAATATATTCATTAATATTGTTACTATTGTTATTCAGGCTCTTTCTGGTCTCATGTATAAGTGGGAGTAGGCAGCCACTTTTGTGGAATGTTTTCAAAGGAACTTAGAAGGATCCCTTATCCCTAAAGCCTCCCTTTTCTTCTCCTTAATGGCTGAAGTTCCACCATTAAAAATGTGTTCCTTGTGCTTAAGACTCATATCCTGGATGGACAAAGCATTACTGGTTAAGAACACAGGCTTCAGTGACATACAGAACTGTGATCAAATTACACTGCCACTTATTTGCTCTATTTTAAGTTTTTTCAGCTTACTGAGCCTCAGTTTTCTCATCTGCAGCATGGGGCTAATCATAAAACCTCTCTCACAGTATTGTTTTGAAATAATGCATGTAAAGTTCTTAGTTTAGTATCTGGCACTTAGTAAGCACTCTCATCCATATCAGCATTATTAATAAGTACCGTTCGTTCCAGCTCAGCATCAGTGAATTTGGACTTCTAGCCTTAGAATTATCAGGGAGCTCAGACATGGCTGAGGACAACCTGCTCATTTTACTAATAGGGGAACTTAGGCACAAGGGAGGAAGAGACTGGCCTAAGTTCACACAGTGGGTAGGAAAGCTGAGTATGAAAATCAGATTTGGGCTTCCAGTCCAAACCTCTTTGTTACATCACAGTTAGCATTCAGATCCTTCTCTGGGAGCATGTTTTACTGAGAGAAGTGGTGAAGAGAGAGAGAGACAGAGACAGACAGAGAGAAAGCAAGTGAGCCTCTTGCTGCAGGATAAAGCCTGAGGAGAGAAGAGGCTGAGACCATGACATGATCAGCTTTGCTGACTGGAAGTTACCTAGGCCCGGGTCTTCATTAGCCTTTTGAGGTCTCTGTGGCTTAGACAAGAGCATGAACACCCAAAGGTAGACAGACTAAGCACAGAATTCGAACAATTTAGGGCTTCATAACGCCTTTAAAAAAAAACATTAGAAATGTGATGTTTTAAAATCTGAACTTTCTTGCACTTCTTTACATTCACTGATAAGTATAGCATAAACTTAATTACAATAATTTTAGTTATTTATCTAGAGAGAGGCATCCTCATCTTTTCAATGCTTATGAGCATTAAAGTTTTTATCCAGTCCTGCCGTGGAGCCTGAAATTTGGTTTCAGATACATATTCCCCCTTTACTTTGCTCTATTTTTCTCTGTAGCACTTATCATCATCTGTCATGTTACTTTTTAACTTGTTTGTTTGTTTTTGGCTTCGCCTGATCTCACTCTAGAACATAAGCTTTAAAACAGTTTTTTGTCTGTTATTATCACCACTGCCTTTTCAGTGTTTAGAAGAGTGTCTGGCACATAGTTGTTGTTCAAGAAATTTGTTGAATAAGTAAATGAATGAATTCTGGGTCCCTAGGAATACCCCCAGCCAAACTGTTTCCCAAGAACTTCAAACTGCCTTCAACTGGGGCTAGTCCAGCAAGTCCCAGGTTCCCAACTGAGGAAGGCAACCCATAGTTTTGTCCTTGATATCATCTACTTGAATGAGGACAATACTAAGCTGAGCAGACAGTTTACCCTGAACTAGCAATGGGAGGAGTGAGGGCTTTTTGTAAGAAGTTTTTCACCTCTAGGGTTGGAGCTCCTCATGATAAATAGGAAGGAAAGCTAGTTTCTAGGGCCACACACATCACCCCAATCTTAGAGCCTATCTGGCTTCCCTCACTGCTACATTTTAGACCTCATACTGGCTCTACTCCTCTATGCTCCTGGATTCAGTACCTCCCTAGATATTTGGGAGAGAAGAGCTTCATACTCAGACATTCAAGAGAGGGAAAGAAGTGAAATAGTGGGAAGTACACAGCTCCTCAAAAATCTGAATATTGGGGAAACTTTTACTCAATAGTCTGTGCTTTGGCTTCCTTGTTGAAACAAACTGTTTCATATTTTAAGAATCATTTCACCAAGTCCACTAGGATCAGGAGACATTTAGGGGAAAGAATCCAAGCCTATATAAAATGAGAACACAGGTTCCCAGTCACCACAGGCAGTTTTGGACAAGAGGGCTGTCTGGAGAAAAGCAGTGTATGTTTTGGACTTAGTGGTACACAGGGTAATGTCAAGAAAGTGGAATAAGCGAGTTGCAGTGCAGAAGCCCTATCTTGGGGCCAAGGAGGCTGAGGCTCAAGAGATGACTTACTATTTACTGGGATAGTCGTCTCTCTTCGCCCCAAGCCTGCTTCAGTCATTTGAATTAACCAGATTCCTTTTCTAAGATGCAAACACCAAAGGGAGGATTAAAAGCAGTGGGTGGAGTGATCAATCATTCACACCTTAGTGTAAATCTGTTTAACCTATCCCTACCTTGACAGATGTTTATGTATTGTTTTTGGTCCACAAAGAAGTGATATTTCTATAGGATGTGGGGAGAGATGTTGGAAGGGACCACAGGAAAGACAGGTAGAGAGTTTGGGAAACCATAGCAAACATAAGGTGGAGGGGTTTGGGAGTGGGACAGGGGTGGAAGAAGGCTAATACAGATGTGAAACAAATGACCTCTGTACGCATTTTTTCTGCGGACCTGGCCTAGAAGGTCACTAAGGACAGAGTTTCTATAATTTTAAACATAGCCTAGGGCTGATTATGCTGATCATGATGTCAGGAAAGGCAGCATTTGCTGTCATCTCATGGGGAACCAATACACAAAGCGGTTTGTAAGATGCTGACATTGCTTTCCCTGAGAGTTGGAAGGCATGAGGATGTTGAGTAGGAATTCCCTGTGCTGCCACTGGAAGACTACCTGTTCTAGTTATTGATCAGTCAGCCACCTAGCCTCCAAATCAACCCATTGTTGTCAGATTGTCTGTTTGCCCTGAGTTTCCCCGGGTCTCCTAGTTGTCCTAGGGTATTTCATCAAATCTGAGAAATCAGATTCAAGAGTTAGATTGGCAAGAAACTCCAAGTAAATCAAAGTTAACTTGGACAAATCAGAGAAGAAAGTACTTAAACTTTCAGCTTGATCCCTGAAAAGTCACCCAGGGATTTTCCATTTGCAATTCTGCATTAGTCTTCAGACAGCCTCAAAAACAAAGTATTGAAATTCATTTGGGATCAAGTATACTTTAATAAGTTCTTTCTTGAAGGATGGAGGGAAGATAAAGGAAAGATGCCTCTGGGTGCTCACAAATAAAGGCAAAGTTGAATAAATAGCTGACCAAAGTATAACTGCTAGATAATCCAAATATATTTTATTACATTTAATAAGCACTTAAAATCCAACTTGCTATTACAGCTGAATGATTGCTGTTGCTTTTGAACGTAAAATGAGTCTATTTTACATTTAGTTATATGTTACATTTTGTTGATTACATTGTTCATATGATAAAAGTTTTTATTATGAGCAAGTTATATCAACTATAAAAATGGAAATTAATTAAAATAAATGGAAATATGGAAAATCAAACAAAACTAAATATGGAAATGACACAAAAGGAAACTGGTTTATTGATATATTTTATGTCAACTTGGTTAACACATCACATTAAATGGTTTGGTGTCATAATCCTAAAATTTCATAATTTTGAGAGCCAAGGGCACAAACAAAAGTTCTCATATAGTTTATACTAACAAGAAATGGAAAAGAAAGAATACTGAAACAAAAAGATTATTCATACTCTTATTACTAATTTGATCTTACAACATAACCTAACAACTGAACTTAGACTAACTTAGCCTAGTTTCATCTAACTGAACTTAATGCCTTATATATTCTATCTATAACTTTTTTTCACAAGACAATACAATGCATGATCATTTTTAGGACTTTAGATCACATGGAAAAAGTAATGCCATTTTTGAGAATTCATTTTTATTATTGTTCTATTGTTTTAGAATTTTTTTTTCAATTAGTTCTTAACCCAGGCACAGATTTAGCAGTTTTTAAAGTTAAATTATGCTCACAGATTTTTACTTTAAAATCTTAGTATTTTTAAATCTACATATCATCAGAAAGAAAAACAAAGGTTAATGAGAGCTTTAAGAATTTGCTTGATGCTTAAAAATTTTTATTTTTTTGTTATTGTTTTATGGTCTTTAATTTTCTTTTTAATCACTCCCTGGCACAAGTTCACCAGCTTAAATGATGCTTTGCTCCTGGAACTTTTGCGTAAAAAGTCTTAGCGTTTTTAAATTGTCACAGCATCCAAATATTTTTAAATTGATTAATGTGCATTTTAAGAATATTTTTGTTGTTTTGCAGTTTTAATTCTTGTGTGCATGTGTGTGTATGTGTGTAGTGTGTAGGTGATGGTATTTATTTCTATTGTTTCTGACATGAGCTCAAATGTAGCATCTTTCAAGCTACATTGTGCCCAGAAATTTTATTTACAAGTCTTAACATTCTTAAATCTACACTTCCTCCAATAAATGGTAAGAGTTTTTATGGATTTTTTTTGTTGCTTTTGTTGTTTAAGTGAGTTATAACAAATGTTTTCTCTTCTTTTGTACATTTTAAAATATTGATTTTAATTGCTCCTGAATCAGGCATGAGTTTAACAGCTTCCTAGCTGCATTTTGATCCAAAGCATCATATAAACGTTATAGTATTTTGCTAGTTTTACAAAAGCTCAAAAAATATGTGATAAATTTTTGTGTGCTTTTTTATGTTTTTTTTTGTAGGGAGTTGTTTTATGTTTTTTTTTTTTCCAATGCGGTCTTCACCTGGGCACAAAATTAGCAGATGTCTACCTATGTTGTACGCCAAAATTTCATTCAAATGATACAGTATTTTTAAATTTACAGATCCTTAAAAAAATAAATAAAATATTAATGCAAGTGTTAGGAATTATTTTTTGTTGTTTTTGTTGTTTTTATTGTTTTGTAGTTTTTTCTGGTTTATTGTTGTTGTTTGTATTGGTTTGCTTTATATATATTTTTTCAATATGTTCCCGACCTGGGCACAAATTCAGCACATCTCTGGCTATATTGTGCTCCAACAGTTAATAAGAAAGAATAAGTAATTTAAAATCACAGATGTCAACTCCTCTCCCCCCAAAATCATTAATGTAAGTTTTGAGAAAGTTTTTTTGTTTCTTTTATTGTTTTATTTTTGTTATTATTTTGTTGTTAATTTTTTTCAATTTGCTCCTGACCTGGGCACAAATGCAGCAGCTTTCTGGCTACATTGTGCTCCAAAATTTTATATGGAGAATATTTTATAGAAATCAGTCTCTCAAAAGAAAGATAATTGTAAATTCTAAGAAAAAAATGTTGGTGTTGCTTAGTTTTTTTATGGATATTTGCTGTTTTATGTGATTTTCCATTTTGCACCTGTCATGGGCACATATTCAGCAGCTTTCTGGATTTTAAGTTTCATACGAAAATCTTAACATAGTGTAAAAAAACGAAAACAGTTTTTAAAAACTGACGGTGACTGCAGATGTGTAAATCCAGTTAATTTTCTGTTTCTTCCCACCCATATTCATGCAAACCCAATTTATCTTTCTGCTTTCAAAATATATACAATAAATTTTGCCAGCTCTTTTAAATTTGATACATTTTTTATTAATAATGTTATGCTAAAATATGTTCTTGTGCTAAAATAAACTCAATGACAATTCAAAAAAAGGAACAAAAAGTCTAGCATTTATCAGTAGTAACACAAAAAGTTTTTTTAAATAATCCCTGAATTTGTTCTATATTTATAGGCCCAACCTAATTACCAAATATTATCAGAATGGAAATATCTTTTTAAAAGTATTAAAGTAATCTCCATATCACTAAAGTCAAGGCCACTGACCACCTACGTAATGTGATACAATAAAATTCTAACCCAGCAGAAGAGTTTTGGTTGTTGTAATTAGACCTGACCTATAATTATTGAACAAAACAGCATATGTACAATAAACATTCAAATAAATGTATCTGACTGCACTCAGTACATTAATCTATCCTCAGTATCATTAGCTTCAAATCTTTTCTCTTACTCATAGCATAGGAAAAATCATAGGAGAAACCATATCTGGACCTAAAGACAGTTCTCGTACCTAGAAGGTAGATTCTAGCATTAATTCACCACCATTATGTGTTGTCTGATCACTAACTTCCTCTTGAATAGCTGGAAGGGAAGGCTTTGTGGTCAGAGGCGTTTCAGTCTTAAACAGGGACTCCATTCTGATATGGGTATTAATGTAGAAGGACTTCTGAAAGGACTCAAGGGTAAAGTAATAGATGAAAGGGTCAAAGCAACAGTTCAGAGTTGCAAGACACAAAGTGATTGGGTACATAATCCTTGCAAATTTTTCCAACAAGCAATTGGTAATAGCTTGGGAGCGCACCAGGGCATACAGAAAGAGAACAGAGTTATAGGGTACGAAGCATACCACAAAAACTGCCATATGCACTGTGATCATCTTTAGTACTTTTTTCTTATTAGTCCCAATTTGAGACAATGTAGCAGGCTTGCGGAGGGTTCTTAGCACCACAGAAGAGCAAGAGACATTCAATATCAGAGGAATGACAAACCCAACAACTTCAATAAATATGGTGATCTTGGACAAATAAGTCTTCCAGACACGTTTGGAGAAGCCCTCAAAGCAAGTGGTGGTTGCATTGTTGACATTAGTGGTGGAGAACAAAGAAGCTGAAATGCCACCACTGAGGACTAGGATCCAGACTCCAGCACACACAATAGCAGAATTCCTCCTGGTCCTAATGGTACGAGATCGGAAGGGATAGACAATGGCCAGGAAACGATCCACACTAATACAGGTGAGGAAGAGCATACTCCCATAGATGTTGGTGAGAAATGCAGTCCCAGAGATCTTGCAGAGGGTGTCACCAAAAGGCCAGTGGCGGTTGAAATTGTAAAATATTTTGAAAGGTAGAGTGCAGACAAAGAGCAAATCGGAGAGGGCCAGATTGGTGATGAAAATAGCAGTCTCACTTCTCATTTTCATGCGGAAGCAGAAGACAAACAGAGAGGCACTGTTGGTTATCAGACCCAGGATGAATACAACACTGTAGACAGCACCATTCAGATTATACTTGAAGGAATCATCAACAATGCAAGTACTATTGGCAGTAGCATTGCCCAACCTGGGTCTGAGGCTTGAATTTAAATCTTGGAATTGGAAATCAATGAATCTTCTGTCACCCATGGATTTTTTTCAGGAGACCTGCTGGCTGCAGGGTTCACCACTCTGAGACTAGGGACAGGTAGGAAATGTTTTCGTCCTATGGGAGACAAGATGGAATGAATCATCAAATCTGCCTTCCATCCATGATTTCTGTGGAGTGAAAAATATTCTGTCCACCCAGATTAGAAATAACATACATATTCAATTTTGTTTGACAAGTACTTTTTGAGCATCTACCATATGTTAAAAGGTACTACAAGAGCGTGTTGCAAGAGTGGAAGATATCACACTCCGTACAGTAAGTGCAATACTGTAGCATTGCAGTGAACAGGAATAAGATATTGGTTACCTGAGAGCCCAAGGAGGGGGAAAATAAGCTCTGATAGTAGAAACAACATTAATACTGTGAAATTTATAAGGCGCTTTTTAACTTTCAAAAGCATGTTTTATTTGATTCCCACAAGAATACCATAAGGTAGGCAAAACAGGAATTTATCACCATACTACAGAAGCAGAAACTGAGGCTTATGCAGTTTAGAATTACAATAATGTCAGAATTGGAAGAACACATAAATACTGTAGTCAGAACCAGAATTCAGTTTTTTTATTCCTAACCAAAAGATTGTTATGCTACTCTAAATTGTATTGTCTACTCTCCAAAATTACTAAACTTCATTGTCTGAGTATTAGTTCTATTGCATAAGACTACAGGTGGATATGGGACCTCCAGGACATGTTCTTACAAAAGTTATGACTAAACTCCTGAAGTAAATTGTTGATTCACCTTTTTCTTCTAAGACATGAGTTCAGAGAGCAGGGATCCCTCAGTTAATTAGAGCTTCTGGCTAAAAGTTTTTTCACTGCATTATATTGCCTTTCTAGAGAGATAATTCAAATAACCATCTCAGTGTTTCCCTCCTGCAGACTGTGGTCCCCTTTCCAAGCTTCTCTCATTCTAGACCCTAAGTCTAGGATGTCTTTCTTCTCCTTCTCCTGCTGTCCCTTCCATCAATTATCTGCAGGCCTTGGGCTCCTAAAATGGCCCTAGTCAGTAAAGTTTTTTTCTGGCTGAATACAAGCCAAATGTGAAAGGTAGATCTGACATGAATAGCCATCCCTATGCCCCATTGTACACTTCTGATCTGGCCGGTTACATGCCTACCATGGCTTGTACATGTGGCAGTTATTGACTTAATCATATTTGTTGGGTATCCGGGCCAACATTGTTCACAGGTGCATATAGAAATCTTACTAACCTTCTCCTAGGTCAACAGCTGCCATTGGACAGGGACTGTCTTTCGAATTCTCTTTAATACACTGTGGACAAGTAGCTGCTGAATGAATTATTTTCAATGGGGAGGATATGGAATAAAAGTGGTCTTTGTCCCCTGACATATCCAGTAATGTGTTGTCACATGATTATATTTTCAAACGTGAAAGGCATTTCTCTGAAGTGATTTCTCCTTACGTCACTCTTTCCTTCCAACACCCAGGGAACAGGTCAAAGGGTCTCTGTATATAACAGAGAAGGAAGTGGAGGGGGAAACCTGCCAGATATATAGAGGCCTAAAGTTACTTCAACCAGTGTTTGGCTTGAGAAAAAACACTCACTCACTGCAGTGCCTAGAGGGAGACATGACCTTGGAGAATATGGCATGCAAAGCAAAAGATTGTCATTTTTAATAGCTAAAGTTTTCAAGTTAAAATTGGAGACTTGGTATTCCTGAATTCTCATTCAGCAAATCTTTATGGAGTGCCTCCCCTGAGCCTAACACTGCACTAAGATCATATTGCTTCTTGGCCATATCATCTTAGGCCCAGCTCAACTTTTGCCAGAAGCAACCTTGACATGTAAAAGCAGAGTAGAGTAGGATCTTGACCAAGTAAGGTCCAGGGGGAAAAAAAGCCGGATGAGGAAGAAATAAAAATAGGTGGGGAGAGCAGAGGAGGAGATGGGAAAGAATGTAGCAGAGAAAAAAAAAAAAAAACTGGAGAAGTGAGAAAAAGAGGAGAAGAAAAGGTGAGAAAAAGAGGACCTTGCCCGGGAGAGGTCAGTGCTGCCATCCAATTTGTATTCAGGGCCTCGGGAGGTATTTCTAGTTCACAGTTCCTCCAATCCCATCCTCTCTACCTTGCTTCATTTCACTCCTTCTAGTTTTCTCAGAAAGAAGAACAGTGTGCAATCATTATGTTTAATGTCACTGAAGCTGATCAGCAAAAACAGGAAGAGCTTGGAAAATCTCAGTCAATGGAGCTCATAACTCACTTTGGGGGCTGCAGGCCCAAGTTTCTGCAGATTGTTTCACCAATGGAGTGGCAGAAAGAAAAAGAGAATGGCAAACTTCTCAACTGCTTAAACCACTTTATATACTATTTTTAACACCCCCACTCACTACTCGTTACTCTGGAGGCTTTTTTTTAATGGTGAAAGAAATCAAGGTAGTCAAAAAATATCCCTCTAACATAGTCACACAATCTAAAGAAATTATGGTACTGAAAAAAATCCTAAAATTAAAGCCAAGCTTCATTCACAAGGATCTTCTTGCCCCTGCCTTCTACAATAAGCACTACCAATAAGTTTATTTTATTTGGAAAATGTTTTCATAGTAGAAGCCTTTTTTCACCTCTGTCTAGAGTCCCTCAGTCTGCCCACTGGTGACCCCTTTACACAGCATGCTTCTAGCTTACTGGCTATGTATTATTTGTATTTCCCAAGATGGTGTGTTTCAAATAGGTGAGCTTAGTCTCCCCAGTTTTCCATTCAGTTTTACGTCACCCAGAACATATATACTATACCCACAGCAGGCAGTCTGCAAATGCCTAGCACTTCGGCTTCGCCGTTTTGAGTAACCAAATCCTGTTGGAAAGAAAGGACCACAGACAAGAAAGCATTACAGTGTCAATCCTGGAGAGAGGGCGTGGGCAAACTGCCACTAAGGCCCTATTCATAGCTTTTCCTTGCTCAAACACACAGCACCTTTGCTGTCTAGCAGTGAGGGTGTGGTCCTGGGACTTAACATGGCATTGGAAGCAAGGAGTTCTATTTCTGACTCAGACACTGGTTCACTCTGTAACTTGGCTATACTGTTTCTCTTCCCTGTATAAACATTACCTCTGAGCCTCACAGCTGAGGCTAGGAAGATTCAACAGGGCTTGTGAGTAGCTTTATGAGCTTGCCAATATTCAGTCTGCCTAACCACAAGGAAACATTATAGAAGCTTTTTTCCTTCTCTCTCCCCTGACGCAACTGGACACCTATGTCTCTGTCTTGGAACAGTGAACTTCATATTAGCAACACATCCTTCTCTTATGTATACATTAAACCTCAGAGAGCCCTCCTTGAGTTTCAACCTTAACTACACAATTTTCTCATAACAGGATAATTCAGGAGGGTACCCCCAAAGGAATATCTCCCATTGAGCTATGGTAAAAACAATCAGAGAGGCATTTGGCTCTTAAGATGATTCTGAAGGAGAATCAATGATATTCAAGAAACAAGGTCTCTTTTCTGACTGGCTTCCTTTTTTTTTTTTTGACTAAAAGAAACTGTTTTTTAGCTACTAGATTTTCCTAAATGTCTAACATATTGTACACTGAATGAAGGCAAAGGGCCAACACTCGAGCTTCAGATAAGATGAAGAAGGATGAAAACAGGCTGATGCAGTTAATTACATCTTCCACTGAAAGTAGCATTAGACTATTGTCTTGTGAAGACATTTGCAGGCAATTATTCCAAAAATTAATCACCTAGGGTGTTCAGAGTGCTGGGTGGATATATTTTCACTGACAGTGGGCAGGAAACAGGTCACCTGGAGGTTGACCAAAGAGAAATGTGACCCTCAATGAATATTTAACTTTGACCTACACATATGGAGCCAATTCAGACAGTTCATAGTAGTGTTCACAATTTTTTTCCTTTTTAAAAAATTTCTAATGATAATGAAATATACCATGGTTGGGGTCTTTGGGGCTCCTGGAGGAAATGGAGTTAGCCTTTTGGCCCTATAAAGATGAATACCTAAATCACTTCACTTCACTAAGTGCTAAACTTTCAGATGATACATTGAAAACAAATCTCTAACTTCTGGCATATGCCCAGTAGCCTAGAAAAGCTGGCTTGCTTTTGTTTTCTACCAAAGACAATCCAGAACTCAGGAAGACAAGGCCTTGAAAGCAGAGTATACTCAAATTCTCTTGCTTTGCTCCTTTTTAAATGAGCTTGGGTCAGATCAGATCCCCAAGCTTCTGATCCCCAGAGCATTACCCCTTTCTTCTCTGGTCGAAGCTTAGGAACATTGACACAATAGTTTTCAGAGGAAGTTAAAACCTATTGTGTCTTTGCCTATATATATCTAGCAGTGAAGCAAAATAAAAAATACAAAAATGTTGCAAAAAATACAGATCAGAACCATCCTGCTGGAATAACAGGGAATATGTCCAGAATGTTGCTCCTCAGATGAGTGGCTGCTAACAAATAAGACTTCCTAAGGAAATCTTCTAGACCAAGTCACAGGCACAGGTCACAATCATATACATGGTTCCAAATGATGTTCCTATGCATTAGTTGATGTTTCTTAACAGTTTTCAGAACACGACCTAGCCTTATGACATTACATATGGAGGAAGCCACAGGTAAATGTTGCACTCCAGAGCTGAGCTGGGAAATTGATCTGTATCAGGTCTCATCTCAAGCAAGCCCCACTGCGTGTCAAATGTTTAGATTGATAAGCCTCATTTATTTTTATGCAAGAAATATCCTTTTAAAAATGGCTTCTCTATGTTGAATTTGGTTTCCACTGAGATTATTATGGCTGTTTTGTCCTCCACTTTATTTGAGGAGAGCAGGAAATTGATACAGGCCCTAATCTGAGCAGATCCTATTCTCAATGATTAACTTGATTTTTTTCACCAAAAAAATATTCCAGTCTCCCACAAATCCTTCACTGATGACACAGTCTAATCTTTGGAAAATAATGTGGTTCAGTGCTCAACATGATGGGGCCAAAGAGTGCATCAAACCTACTAAAGTAGAATTTTTCCTAGCAGTTAGTTAGAGAGTAAGACAATGCAGAGAAATTGCTCAACCTAGTATCATGAAATAGTCTAGAGTCTTGACACTCAATATCTCATATCAGCAGAAGCCCCAGATCTTTTGGGAAAAATTTTGGGTGTTCCTAAAAGAGCTCATTTCCAAATTCTATGAGGTTCATACATGCCAACTAGAAATTTGGCTGTATTGCACATATTTGAACAGGCAAATTAGTTATCAATTTTTATACCAATTCACCTGATATACTTGGATACTGATCCTGATAATATGTATATAAACCATGTCTTCCATCTCTAAAGGTATATACCAGTGAGTGGCACAGAGTGCTTAATCAAAAGAATCAATATTAATCTACACCAGAATTGCCTGGATTATAATAAACAGTTACAACTCCTTCACCCATTCTGGATTTTTGGATCATATACTCTGTAATAAATTGGAAGTATTCATTACAAAAAAAGTTGTAGAATGAAATTAAGAATTTTGGAGAAAGCTATTACCAGGAGAGTGGTACTGACCACATTAGTTCAAGCCAAATTCTGGCACAATTTTATCCGAGGCTTGGGTAATCAATAAACTTTCTGGAGGTACTATGGTTAGAGATTTCCTCCAATGGATGTTGTGAAATAGAACTTGTCACAGTAGTGTGCCATGGAGAGAGTTTTTCAATGAAACGTATACCAAGATCATAAGGTGAAGAAATTTATTATATGACATAAATCAGAGTAAATGACAACCAACATATTTTAAAACAGTATCTAAATGCTTCGGGTTTCATTATTACAGAATTGCAGGTAACATTTTATTTTCCAAATCTATCACTGCTGTGCCTTATTTTATTAGTTATATTGATAAGCAAGAAGTCCATGAGTCTGTGTTACCTACACCCATTTAAAGATAACTAGTGACAAAAGGAATAAAAATACTTCTTCCACTTCCATAAGGTAATACATTACATTAAAAATAACCAAACAAAGGAGATTTCTTTTTTTGGCTTGAAGTTATACCAGTTTTTTCTTTGTCTTTTTTTTTTTCTTTTCCTTTTCCCTGGAAACAGCTGTTACTATTGGGCAGGAGCCTTGATAGGGAAAGAGGAAAGAAGACTGAAACAACTCGTGGAGGGCCCACTGCCTTGTCTCTAACCTGCACCCCCACTCCAACCAGATTTCTTTCTCCCCTGAACTACAGTGACACGAGCAAAGCTTCAATTACTGAGTATTAGCACACTGACAAACACTGCTGCCTCTACTAGGATGTCCTAGGCCTACCCAATATAGCATGTCTTTAACATCTTTAAATCACAACTCTGCATAAAATACTTATATAGAACCAGAAATACTATGTAATGAAATTATTATAAATAGCACCTATTTGAATGCTACCCATTTCCTGCCTGTAATGTAGAATCATCTGCTAGTGCCAAACTTATACTATTGTTGCATCTCACCCTCTTCTGAACAAAGGTAAGCCAAACAAAGCAGACTGCTAAATAATACACCAACTCTCCTGAAATAATTTTTCTCTAATCTAAGAGAACCAAAATAAAAAAATTAAAATCATTAGGCAATTTAAAATACGTTTGAGATCACCTTAATATTAAAGAGAATTGATTTTCACACTCCTCCAGAGAGCAGTGTTTCTGGAATGAAATTGATATTATTTTACTGGTTTAACTTAAAAGAAGAGAGAAATACTAAAATTTCTTTCTTTTATGACTTTCACAATTTCAGATTATAAAGAAAACTTCTTTTCATTTGCAATCCAAGCAAACTAGGAAGTTAGAATACCCAGATGTTTTCAGGTTTGGTATTAATTCAATATTGCCACATCCAGCCCTAGCACTAGCTAACTGTGTGAGAGCAAGTCAGAGTCTCTTTCTGGACCTCACTTTCTCTTGACCTTCCACCTTTGGCCTTGATCAACAGCAGCCTTCAACTGATGATATGGCAGTAACCCGACTGGCTGTTCCCTTTTGTCGATTGCTTTCACCTGCTCACATTTGTCAATGCAAAAATAATGTTTTAATCCTTCAAAGTCTGAGATAGAGGGAATTAATTTTTATTAGACTCAATGAAATTATTGCTAGATTTATTTTGTTTATTTTTAAGTGTAATTGACATACATTATATTAGTTTCAGGTGCACAACATAATGATTTGATTATTTGTATATATCGTGAAATGATCACCACAATAAGTCTAGTTAACATCTATCATCATACATAGTTTAGATTTATTTTAATATCAGAAGTAAATATTATTAGTGTCAGAAGCCAAGAATTACACATCAAGATGCCATTTATATCCTAAGTCTTCCTAATGCCCTCATTTTTTTCATCCTCTGCCCTTATGCCCATATCAGCAAGCATATCAGCTCTAATTATCTAGGTTTTAATCCTCAATCTTTTCTACCTATTCTCCCAGTCACTTGTAATCCTCAAAATATAAGGTTATCAAAATACTGCATAACATAGCTATATAGAATCAGTAAACTACTTTTCTATGCATTGTTCTGACAACCAATTACTTGTTTACTAAAAGTGAGGCTGGATTCCCAGTGGTAGGTGACATCCTACTAAGCTCCTGATCTGCAGTACCAATATTCACAAAAACATTATAGGATCCCCCCCCTTAAGAAGGCCAAGAGCAGACTATACATGATGATCATACACATGGAAAAGAGGCAACTACACAATTAGACCCTGATCACACCACAGCAGGGACAACAATTAATGCATTTTTCTCTCAAAGATAATTGAACAGAGGAAGATTTAGCTAAGCTTGGCCTGAGTGTTGCTGTGAGGCATCTTCCCACTTCTCTTTAACCTACAGAGAGTACACGTTCTGAAAGGCTTGTCTGATTATTCCAATAGGGCTTTCATTCGCATCTCTGATTGGCAGAAGATACTTTAGAGTGTAGATGCCATCAAGTTTATCAGCTGAACTCATCCTTTTTAGCAAGAGAGCAACTTTTCATCTGTGACAAGGCAAAAGGATTTACAATCTATGCTGATGAGATATGTTGTTTGGAATTTTGTTCTGAAAAATAAACATGTTTCAAATCCACTGGGTAATTTGCAGCTTAGGTTATTATTGTTGATTTCATGTTAGTCAAGGAAAAAGAAAGATGGTATAATTTGGTAAGGTAGCAAAGTGAATAACCCCACCAAGCCCAGAAATGTTCTAATCTTTGGATTTGTCTGGTCTTTTCCATGCTGGAATAATGATGAATTACATTGCTATATTTCCTAAAATAAAGTAACTAAAATACAATATTTATAAATTCAATAAGATCTTGTCACTAAAAATCTTAAAAATATTCAGCTTACACAAGAAGAAAATTTTGAATATGCCATATTATTGCATTTGTATGGAAAAAAGCAATTAATTTCACATATAATAGCAAATTCAATTTATGCCAGAATTAGTTTTTCATTGAAATATGTTTCCTCCTTTATGGTCAAGTTCATGAATAATTCAATATAGCAAATGTCACATTCTCCGTAAATCATTTAAACATCAAAGGCACCCTGCATATAGTTTTACTAGAAGAAATCTCATCATAATAGAAGTCACATTACCTCACCATCAATTGTAAACCAAAGAAATATAAAGCTAGCTGAAAGAACTTCTAAATTGCTCTACTCCGTGTTTTAAAACAACTGTGTTTACATGAAACAACAGCCTGAAAATCCTGTATCTCTTCCACTGAAACAATGTTATTGCCAAAACAATAGAAATTCTTGCTTTTTTTCTTTCTTTTTTTACCATTCAACACGACGATCCCTGTTCAGCACTTCTGAGATGAAGTCTAACTTCTTTCTCCACTGGAAGCATCAGTGTTTCCACTGAAGTTTGTTATGCCGTCCTCCCACCCCCAAACACCCAAATTAAATCTTTCTCAAAGAGACTTACCCCAAGAAAGAGTGTGCTAGATGAGAGTGTGCTCATGCCTGTAGACAATTAGCTAATAAACATGTAAACGGGCATCTCGCACTTTAGAAGTGCATATTTTAATCCATTATTTTTTTACAGGGAAAGGTTAGCCCAGCCCAAAGTAGCAGACTCTGGGCTGCCGCAGCTTCTTACAGCAGAGCGCCCATTCTGAAAATGTGAGCTTATTTACATTTATCTTTCCCTTTGTTAAGGAACGGCCCTCTTGAATGCTGTAGCCAGCATGCCTTTAACAAACAGGACACAAGAAAAGGCCCAAAGTCCGGGCTGGAGCCGAGGGCTAGGGGAACTCTTGGGGGTCTCAATAGGAAATGCTTTTCATTGGATAAGGAGGCATTATTAGGAGCCGAAATCCCGCCCAATCCCCTGTGCTCCATCCTTCCCTTAGTCACCAATCACTGGACTGAAGAAGTTTTTCCTTAAAGAGCATTGCCCAGGAAAAGCAGTTTTCACAGTCAAGAATTAGCAGCTTAAGTGCCACTTGACAATATAAAAAGTGCCTTTCCTGACGAATTAATCCACAAAGAAAGCCTGTGTGTCTGTCTTTGCTGCAGGACTGCTACCCCTCTACAATTCTAATGAGGAGGAGGAGACAAAAACTCCAAACTGGGAGGAGTGTTTCATTACGAGCAGCCCTTGTCTGCTCCAACTTGCTTAAAAAAATTACAACAATATTAATAATTATAAGTAAGGAGCAGAGAAAGGCAAAAGTGAATTCTATCATAAATACATGCCTATTGTACTATGCAAAATTAAACCTCCCACCACCACAAAAAAATAGAATTCAATACTGTACTCACTTACACTTACTTAAGCCAGTGAAGTACCCTCAGAGATGCGTTGGGGTCCCAGAGCCCTTATACCCACCTTCCATGGACTAGGGAGTGTTCTGTGGCAAAAGGAGAGTCTACACTTCTCTTAAATAACTGCCTGGCAGGAAGTCTAATTACCATGAAATTTTCAGAGGTTTGCTAAAAACCAAAATAAATAGTACAGATGCAATCTGTTTATAATTGGGAGTTATCTTCAACTGTATACTTCCTCCCCCCTGGGCAAGTTCTTTTCCTATAGGTTGACTGCCTTGGTCACCCACTCTGCTTTTTTTTTCGTCTGTTTTTTTACCCATTCTCTCCCTGTCTCTGGTCTGAATTTGTTGCAGAAATTCACTCATCCATCTGTAACTTCATTGCTAGCCCTTCCCCTCTGCCACCCCCCTATCCTTCTCTCCTCTACCTCCACCCACTGCCAACACTACTACCAACAGCAACCCCGCTCCCTTTTCTGGAATAAAACTCTTGGGCCAAGAATAAGTTGCTTTCTTTCTCTTGGCAGAGCCACACCCCTGGAGAATTGGGGGATACTCTGCCTGCTTCAAAACTTTAGCCTGTGTAATTAAGCTACCTCCCAAATAAGACATCCTTCCCATTTGTTTATTCCCCCTCTTTCTTCAGCTCTATTGTGGCTGTTCTCACTAATAGTCAAGGTCAGTAAACAAGTGAGTGTGGAGCCTTATTACCTGAGACTGATTCTAAAAACCACTTTCTCTGCTGCTTCCCCTCTCCCTGCCCTCCAGGCTCTATTTTTCCTGTGCCCCTCTCCACTTATCTCAGGTATATCTATTTCTGTCAGTTGCTGACATTGACTGTGTCTTTACAAGTTGTCATTTGCTCACTCTGGACCTGGACCAGCCCTTGGTGCATTTGTCAATCTGCAAGAGAAAGATACAGTCACTGCCCTGCGGTTATTCACAGTCTAGCTTGAGACACAAGACACATTAAAGAGTGAGATACCAGAGGAAAATTCTGAAAAATACTAAAGTAGTTATACGGAGAATAAGTTCTGTAATGGATCAGAGGTTGGAGATGGAGTCCTATGGATAGGACCAGGAGGAATTCCCAGAGGAGGTGGGATTTGAGCTGGAACTTGATGGATGTTTAGTATTTAAATAAGCTGAGAAAAGAAGGAGAAATCTTTCTATGTCGCCAGACTCAAGTGATCAAATGCAGGAGGTGTGAAGTGAGGTGAGGTGAGAAGGAAGCGGGTTTGTGAAAAGAAAAGAAGGGTAAGAAGAGCTTTTGGGGGGGAGTGCTCAATTGTAGCAACTCAATACACTATAGTAATTGAAATCAACCTATAGTCATGGTCACTGTCCGACTGTCTGTATGACCAGCTCACTATCTTTCTCCTCTTTGGGTTAATATCTCTCAGTCTTCCAATTAATCTGCTTTCATTTCTCCCTAAGGTACTCAAATACCTTTCTGATTAATCTCACAAACAACTCCTGGGTCTTTCACTATATCACTGAGTCACATGCAATTCTAGCATTACTTTTCCTCTATCTGAGGTCCAGCCTCACTGACCTACTTTCAGTTTCCTAGAATGAGATATTATCCTTCACATCAGGGACATTTATGCTTGCTCTTCCCCCTGCCTGGAACACTCTCCCTCTCCCTAGCCTCCCTTTCACGAAGTGAATTCTTACTCTTCCTTCAGAAATTATCCCAGTAATCATGCCTTCAGAGAACCCTTCCTTAGTACCTAGTTCAGGTCATATCCACTATTAGATGTCCTTACAGTATCATGGACCTTTTCTTCATTGCATTCATCACAGGTATAATTTTACATGCATTGTGTAATTTTTTATTTGTGTGATAATTTGATTGTCAGTCTTTCCCAACTGTAAACACCAAGAGGATAGGGTCCATATCTGCTTAATCCAAAATTAAGGATTTTGTTCACACAAACTCTTCTCCCTGACCTTCTTTCTTGCCTAAACAAAGCAGTGGTGTGCCTTATTTATTTATTTATTTATTTATTTATTTTTACTTCTCAGCTAAAAATATGTATCGTTTCATCCATGTCAAACAAGTCCATATCAAGGTGTTATTTTAGAACAAAAAGTACAAACACATAAAGAAAAAAGTTCCATGATCAAGAAAGTACTGAAGCTTATCCACTACCATCCCCTTTTGCCCTCACCTCACTCCTCACTGCAAATATTCTAGTTTCTCTTGCTCTAATATTTGTAAGGTGGAAGGAGGGAATGAAAGATTTTCCAGGGTGTTCTCCAAACAGCCAGTTTATAGCCACACAATTTAACCCAAAAAGTCCTTCAAAAAAGCCTTCATTGAGTTGCTGATGTCTTTGCCACTGGGGCAAAAATGAATATACAGCTGAAAAAATGAATTAAGAACTACCTGGGGGAGTATACATTTCATTTGTATCTGTTTGAAAAGAAAGTAACCGAAATATGACTAACTTCCAACTGGGAATTTACACATTTGAATAAGAACAGTCAGATGCTTGAGATCTTCACACTCCAAACCCAAATCAATTTTTCTTTCTGCCAACAATATCAAAGGACTGGGTGAAGTCACCCCAAGTGCCAGGGACTCAACACTATGCTAGTTTCCTTGGAAACAGTACAAATGTAACTGAAGGATTTTAACTATGCCTATGATTTAGGGTCCAACTAATAGTTTTGGTAACTCTCATAATCTGTAAATGAACACAGTGCCTGTATAAATCTGGGCAGTGTTCTAGGAAGGGAAGCCATTTAATTACTAATTTTGCCTTAATTAGCAGATGTCTTGAAGCCTTTCAGAAAACAAAGAAAGGCGAGATCCTAAATCCTATAGCCTTTTTTTTTTTTTTTTTTGCTGAAGTAGATGCACCCTGAGGTAACATCTGTGGCAAATCTTCCTCTATTTTGTATGTGGGTCGCTGCCATAGCATGGCCACAGACAAGCAGTGTAGGTCTGTGCCCGGGAACCCAACCTGGGCCACCAAAGCAGAGCATGCCAAACTTAACCACGAGGTCTCTGGGGCTGGCCCTAGGCTTTCCTTTTTAATACAATCTTCATTTGCTTCAATGGGAGGAAAGGACCACAAGGTCAAGTTTCAAACCAGTTTATAACACTGGACATTACATCTATGAAAGGGTAGAAAACATTTTTTCAAGCACAGTCCCTGGAAGATTTTTAGCTCATCCTTCACACTGGAACACCATCACCTCTTAGCTGTTTCTCTAGCAACTGGGATTTCCTTCTCACTGACTGAACAGGCTTAGATAATAGCAAGTTTCCATTGCTATAGGCAGGGTTGGTTGTTAGAGAAAATGAACATTTTTATCAAAGAGCTTTGTAAAGTACCCAGAAGCCTTGAATGCTTGGTATAGGTTAGAAAAATGTCAAGGTAATAATAATAATAGAAAACATTTCTTGAGCATTATTATATGCCAGACAATATTCTAAGTGCCTTACCTATATTTATTTACCTAATCTGTACAACTCCATGATGTAGTTACTGTTATTGTCTCTGTTTTGTACTTAAGAAAAATCAGGTACAGAACAGTTAAGTGACTTGCCCAAAGCCACACAGTTAGTAGTTCCTTGAAAGGTGTTGGATTTTGTCAAATGCTTTTGCAGCACATATTGAGATGATCACGTGGTTTGTGCTTTATTCTATTAATATGGTATATTACTTTGATTTTTCACATGTTGAGCCAACCTTGTATTTCTGGGATAAATTCCACTTGGTCGTGGTATATAAATCCTCTTAACAAGTTGCTGGATTTGATTCACTAGTAATTTTGAAGGATTTTTGCATCTGTATTAACAGGGGATATTGATCTATAATTTTCTTTTCCTGATGTCTTTGCTTGTTTTAGTATCAGGGTAATACTGGCCTTATAGAGTAAATTGGAAAGTGTTCCATCCTCTTCTATTTTTAAGAAGTGTTTGTGAAGGATTGTTGTTAATCTTCCTTCCTTAAATGATAGGCAAAACTCACCAGTGAAGCCATCGCTCCTGGAATTTTTTGTGGAAAAGTTTTTGAATATTAATTCAGTCTCTTTGCTTATTATATGCTATTCACATTTTCCATTTATCTTAAGTCAGTTTTGGTAGTTTGTATGTTTCTAAGAATTTGTCCATTTCATTCAGGTTATCAAATTTGTTATAGTTCATAGTATTCCCTTATGATACTTTTTATTTCTGTAAGGTCAGCTTTAATGTTTGCTGTTTCATTCCCAATTTTAGTAACTTGAGTCTTATATCTCTTTTTCTTGGTCAGTCTAGCTAAAGGTTTGTGAATATTGTTGATCTAGTCCAAGAACCAACTTCTGGTATCATTGATTTTTCTCTATTATTTTTCTATTCTCTACTTTATTAATGTCTGCTCTAATCATTATTATTTCCTTCCTTGTGGTTGCTTTGGATTTAGATTTCTCTTCCTTTTTTAGTTTCTTAAGGTGAAAAGATAAG